ATTCCTCTGCCACCCTTCAGGATCTGGCACAGCAGCGTAGGAACTTCAAATCCAATACAGTATATAGTCTTTGTTTAGCCAGAGCAGATTTAACAACACATTTCCTTAAAAAGTAGGTGGATCATGTAGTATCTCAGATGGTGTAATCAACCATTACATGAGCAACTGGTTAGCCTCTTTAACCTGCAGATCATTTCTGTGGATGTATGACTGAATCACTTTTGTTAAAGTTTATGTCATGCTTTGAAAGACCAAATACATCATCTAATTTCTTGCATTTTTTCCCCTTTTTAATGATGCCTTCTTTTTGTAAACTGTTTCTCTATAGGACTTGCCAGATGGCTCTGTGAAGTAAACCATCTGGCATGTCAGGTTAAGTTAAGGCAAAAGCAAGCAATACTTAAACATCTACTTTGGCAGAGATGCATGAGGACAGTAAAGGGTAGTTATGCATATACAGCCAGTTTGATGGAAAGCAGCCTCCCCCACTAATGATCTAAACTATAACAAAGACTGGTGGTTAGACACAGACAGCACAGCAAACACAAACTGGAAGGAAAAAACTAATAAATTAGGGCTAAGTAAATAAAATGTCACAAGCAGTTAGTTCCCAATAATTAAAATGACCAGCGACTTTATTGATGGAAATAAAAACTAGTTTACTAAACAAGCGACTTGTAATACAAATCTAAGCCAATTGATAAGGAACAAAAACTAAAGAAATATCATGAGAAAAAAAAAAACTTGAATTTTGAAAGAAAATTCTTTGGTTTCAAGAAGTATATGCCAGCTGAAACAATATTCCAACCAATGACCTGATCCTGGAGTTCAATCTAAAGACACAGACTATTTGAGTTTCCAAAGATGAATCCATGACATTCGCCGAAAGACGCCAATATTGACTGCTAGTATCGCTAATCAGCTGATTTTTGGTGTTTTGGTTCAGCTTTTTCTCTAATTAACAAAAATTTTACTTTTCTTTTTAAATGCCGACAAAGATCCAAAACAAAACATGGCTAATAAACCAAAGCTGTGATTGTGTTTCATGTCTGCAGCAGTTTTTTTTTCACTATGTGTACAACAAAATAAGAACCTCCAATTCAGAAAAATCTCTGAAGTAGGAAGAAGCACAGAACAACACACAGATTATATTTTTTGAGTTTGGCCGCCAAACACAGCTTGCTTAGTTACCAACCTGGCAACCACCTCCTAAGATGGTATGTATATATATTTATATGTACATAGTTTTAATGTTTTATTCTATTTTATGAACCTCTGTAGTCCAGCGAACACTAATTCTGTATTTTTAAATCAGTTTTGATGAGTTATAGCTGTTTTTATTTCTTTTTATATTTGTATTTTTCATTGTAGTGTGCTTACTGTTGTGGTGTGTTTTTTTTTTTTTTAGGTAGACAATTTTAAGATCTGTCCAGGGACAACAGGTGAAAAAAAAGCCTTTTGGCTATTTCTGGCGCATTTGCAGGAATGCTTTTTAATGTACACTGTCCCTGTCAAATAAATAAATAAATTAAATTAAGATTTGTCTCAGGATTTAAGGTTGCACTGAAAAAAGAAAGAAAACTGATAAAAAAAAAGGATGTAAGATGTACCAGAGGATAGAAATGAGAAATTGTAAAAAAAAAAAAAAAAAAAAGAAAAGCTGCAATCAAAGAAACATTTTTTTTATTTATATCATTCTTAGTTTAACCCTATCACATTCTATCCCTCTAATAGAAAAACATCACACCGATGGTCACCATGTTTCCCACACCATTACTTGCAATCTCCTGCAGTAAAATTGTACATTTGCAAAAATGACCTGGATGATAATGAAATTTCCCGCCGGGCCACTTTTTCTTTTTCTCCCAGACTGCACAGTGGGGCTACCTGACCAAGCACAGCTGCAGCAGACTGTTTGCTCTCTCTCCTCCTGTGATTCACGTTGTGATTAAAATGTCATTATGGGTTCACGCTCATTACTTCCTCGGTGGCCACTGGTCATGACAGAGGCCTGTTTTCATGCAGAACAAAGAGACAGATCGATATACCGACCACATGCAGCTGAGTGACCCCCACCAGGTTTGCATAACAGGAGGAAATGTTAGTGAATTACTGATAGTTTACAGCTTTACTCATCAACATCCACAAACAGACATTATATAGATTCTACTTTGAAAAGAAGAATGATTTTACAAGAAGTTTCTTTGAAAATTGCAACGATTTCAGCACTAGATAACTGAACAGCTACTCTGTACGGTGTGTCAGCTGATAATTCTGTTATGAGAATATTAAATAGCTGACCAGAGGCATAAACACGTTCCCCTAAAGGTCAGTGCACTTAGTAATGTAATGAGAAGGCTGCTGATTGTTAGCCATCATGCGAGTTTGGTCAGTAAAATAAATGATTGGGGCTGTTGCCCATGGCAGAGCAGCATACCAAGCAGGAACAAGAGCTGCTGGAGGAGAGACTCGACTGCAGGGTTCGGTAAAATATGACATTTTGAGCGAAAAGGAGAAAAAGAGGCGACAGCCGCAGAAGTGGAAACTGCTTGGCTCATTAGGCAAGGAGCTTCCATTCTGAAAGGACAGATTTTTTTTTAACATGGGAGACTTTGGGGCGGGGTAGGAGCATTTACTGCTGGAAGGATGCTTTTAACTCCCACAGGAACACCATCCTTACTGGGTGAATACATTTAAACTTAGAGATCATGGTGTTAGATGACTGATTTTTGTTTTGTTTTTTCCATCAGCACTTTTACTAGCCCTGAAACCATTTTAGCAAAATGCATTTAGATTCATGAAAATAACAATGAATGGTTGCATAATTTCCTGGACTAATGCAGCATGGCATGGATTGAAATCAGTCTGTGGCTCTGCTGAGGCTTTAAGGAAGCCCAGGCTGCCTAACGACTTTCAGCATGTCAGTTTTTGTCGCTGTTGTTTCACTTTTCTTTCCCTCTTTGGGTTTTAGGTCAGCTGAGTTTGCTTTCCAGTCCAGCGTGTGATATCTGGATTATCAAACCAGTTATTGGTGGTTTTGAAAGTGGACCACTGCTGCCACAGAATGAAATCAGCATCTCCATGAAACTTGTCATTAAAGCGAAGCATGAAGGTCTTTAAAATCTCTTGATAACCTGGTTGTGCCAACCATGACATAGCTCCTGATTTCGCTCACCAGGAAAGCTTGACTGGTTCTCAGAACTTTAATTTCATGCCCATTCCAGACTCTAAGGCCTGGATTTTTAGCTCCTTAGCCAAAGTAATACATTTCTAATGGGGTTTCTTGTGCAGCAGTTGGTTAGCAAAGACAGGTAAATGGTGGTTCTTGAAGCCGAGCCCAGACAATGTCTAAGACCCAAGAATTTTCCTCAAAGTCTCAAACACGTTTGATTCAAAAACCTCTAAAATATCTGACAGTGCTTTTTTTTTTTTTGTGCATCCTTTTCTAACCTTTCCTTCCACTCAGTTTTGAATAAGCAGACCTGTGTGCAGACATAACATCCAAGTTGCAGCTTACCCTCCTAGTGAAGGAAGCCTCCTGTTATTATGTGAGGCATAAGATCAAATTTATATCGTAAAAATGCCTTTTAATTGGTCTTATCTGACAAAAAAAAATTATTAGTTTCCTTTAGCCTTAGGGTATAATCATAAGAAACAAAATAATTTCAGTGGGTCCCTCCTTTTTTAAAACAAAGTTTAAGAAATGAATTAACTTTTGGATTGAACCGCTTCAGATCTACCTGCTTTTGAAGTTCTGGCAATAAACACAGCATCTAGCCAATAAACTGGATAAATCTAGTACTTGCATGCAAAGTGTTATTGCATGAATTTACCAAAGGCAGCTCTTTTTCCGGCTCCAACATTTGGGATCCCCTGAACAGTCCTGCTCGCCCCCAAACCATGTGAAGGGTGGGCATACATAAAGGGTGTGTAACAGAGGAATGAGCCTGCAGCCTATAAGGTCATGTGTCTTTTTCTGACAAGCCAAGGTCCAGGCAGTGGGGCGCAGGTGAAAGAGCTGCTAAGAGGATTTACTTTTGGCCATTAAAGTGCCAAAGAAACTCCCTTGCACATCAGACAACTGAAGGTTGCCCTCTCATCTCATGTGACCAGTCATGCCTGCCCCCTTCACAGTCTGCATACAGACACCCTGCAATCCACTGGCACACAGGGCTGAAACACTACAGCAGCCAATATTGATCCAGGCGCACCAACATGGCACATGGAAAGAGGAGGGGTGGGTGGAACAGAAATGTGAATATATCATGAGATTTCCTGCAGCAGCACCAGCATGTGATCACCTGTATACAAAATAAAAGGCTGAATATCGGCGCGTCGGGTTTCAATGAAGGGGTGTGGCAGCTGCGCCCAGACAGAGACAGTGGCTGGCATCATGCCTCGCATCTGATGCTCCCTCCAACGCGCTGATCGCAGGTTTGCTGGAGAACCACAACCAAACGCGTGGGAACCCACGCAGCAGATGAGCGGTTTGCGTCTGCGCTGCACGATCCAGAGGCGCGTCCACACAAGTTTCTGTCATGCGTGATCCTAAACAAACGAGAGACGCGCTTTGTGAGGATTGTCACCTTTCAAAAAAAAAAAAAAAAATGCGGGTACCGAAAACAAAACAAAGAAAAAAAAAAGTTGGAAAGAAATAAACGTGCCGCCGGTGATATGGAAACATGGCGTGGAATCCTGCACGCCCACCGAGAATATGCGCTCCTCTGTTCGCGATGATCCATTTAAGCGCCTCAGCTGTGGCTGCGAAACACCAACAGCACCGAATAAAACAAGTTACCTGGTTTCCATGGGAGAATTAACGGGAGAGCCTAATTTCAACACAATCCAAACATCATAAAGCAATGCAGCCCCGCACCAAGGGGCCCCCATCAGCATGCGGGGTCCCACGCTGACTGCTGTTAGGATATTCTAAAGAGAGGAGGTCACCCAGATCTGTGGGGGGGAGATGGGATCCACAATAAGCAGATTACAGGACTTACCTTTAAATGCGCTGCTGGAGCATTTCAGACAAGATGCACATTTACCGACACGGCCTGCAGTCCTGCTGCTAAATATCCTGAGCGGGGAGAGAAATGTCCAAGTGGCCCCGGACTCTGCGTGGTGTGGATGTGATACAGAGAGAGAGAGAGCTGCTAGATGTGTGTAAATGGGGAGTGGGACAAAGAGGAAATACGTCATAATTACTGGCCAATGCGATTTGTAGTCCGTCGGCAGCAGGTCTTTGAACTACACAATGGGTCAGAAAAAAAGATTCCAACATTATTTAAAGCTTTTTGGGGTCATTTGATTCAAAAAGAAAAGCCTATAAGAACACAATTTATTTTAATTAATTGATTTATTTTATAAATTTAACTGCTAGGTTAATAAAAACCCTCCCAAAACAGAATTAGGCTGACACACTTCATCATATAAATAATGATAATAATAATTAGTAATGTATTCATCCTTAACTTCAGTATGCAAACTTAAATGAAGCCTTTAAATGAAAAAGCAACCAACTCAAAGCAGTAATTATACCAAAATTATTAAATAAATAAGTACATATATATATATAAACAATTTGAATTCCAGGTGAAAAAAACTGTTGTCCATTAATATCCCTTAAAATTCACTGTTTTTTAGCTTCACTTGGTTTAAATTCTGTGTAAAATCTCCTTTAAGGAACCTTTTGCCAACTGATTATTATATCTATGAACACCTGTGTTTATGGATGTTGGAGATCGGCCTGTTTGTTTTAAAAGGTGTACTACTACTGCACAAAATTGCCCATACTGGGACAAATAAAAGCTACTGAACTGAACTGAACTATTTTTCCAGTGAAGTCCTGTTTCTCTCACTGGGACTGGCTGGATGTGCTCTCTTCACCCTCTGATATGGGAGCTGGCTCTGAGCTCGTCTGCCTGGCTGTTTGTTTCCTGGACAAGGTGGCATTTTACAGCTGATTTTTGTATCTCTGCTTCTCTCTCCTTGAACCCCAGTCGGCCTCGGCAGATGGCCGCTCACACTGAGCCTGGTTCTGCTGGAGGTTTCTTCCTGTTAAAAGGGAGGTTTTCCTCTCCATTGTCGCTACAAGCATGCTTAGTGTGAGGGATTGCATCCGAGTCAATGAGTTGATGCAATCAACTGGTTTCCCTTAGATAGAAAACTTTGAATCAATTTTACTGCATGATTTGGTTAACTGTAAAGTGCCTTGAGTTGACATGTTGTGAAATGGTGCTATATAAATATACTGAATTGAATCGACCGATTGATAAAAGAATCAACAGATTAGTCAATTAACAAAAAGTCTCTAGTTGCACTCCTATATAAGAATATTATATAAAACAAAATTTAAAAAATGATCTTCACAGGAAATGTTATGGTGGAAGCAGATGACAGCCTCTGAGTCGTATTTTTAAATGACTGTAGATCACAGTTGGTTATTTCTAAAGAGGCTGGCTGCTCACAGAGGGCTTTCTCCAAATGGAAAGTTAGGTGGAAAGAAAAAGGTAATAAAACAGTGGACCAGCCACATCGGTCATGTGACATTGGGGTGGCCTTTAAATCTAAAGACTATTGAAGGGTAAGGAGTATTAATTAGGCGTGGACTGTCCCTACCCGCTATCCCTTTTACTTTCGGTTGTCAGGAGTAAGAACTCTATCCAAGGTAGAGAAAGGACTCTGTTTTGCCCCATGCCACACTGTACTGATACAGCAATAATAAAAGTGCACACACTGCATGCTCTATGGATGTACTTTACACTAAGCTGATTTCTGTTTCAATTTTTCTAGCTGTTTTTATGAACCTTCTTGGCTTTAAGAGCTGAATAGTGGATTGACATTAGCTATAAGCCATAATTAAAATCAGAATTGTGTTTGCAATAATTTAATATATGATTTCTACTATTTGTTGCCAGTAACAGTTAAATTTTTAATCATAATCATCTAATTGTGAAGGTTTAACACCCTAATGTAATAATTTCTGTTTATTCTCTTTTAAAATGGAAATACTTATTTATTCCTTTTAAGGTTGTCATTTTCTGATTTTTCTTTTTGTGTTTTTTATGTGATGGATGCACTCATTTTGGTTCAGCTTGCAAATATTAAAATAAGCATTCTAAATAAAAATGATTGACAATTGTGGATGTATCCAAACATCAAAGAGGTGAAAAGAAACTAAATCCGAAGCAGCGCTGAAAAGTTATATTTTACATTGTTTTGTATTTTAGATCTAATATGGTCTAATACTTTCCTGGTCTGCAGATTATAATACCATAATATAGGCTGTTATTTTAAAATGGCACATGCAATAAAGTATGCAATTACTCTAAATTAGTTTTTCTTTTATTCCAAGGTTCCAAGGGGGATCAATGAAGGTCCAATAAAAGCGCTTTGTGAGTTTAACTTATTTTTGAGAGTTAACAATTCTTTTCTGGTGAGCCCTAATAATCAATTTAAAATAAAGTCCAAAAATCCTGGTTTATACTCCTTTTCTGGCTGATCAGCTTCTCAGCCATGTTTTTTTTTCTTTATAATAGATGTTTTAAACACATAGATATTATGTGACGTTATTTTTAATGTATCTAATCTCCCATAGCCATAAAGTGGGCTTTACTTAATTTGATAATGTCTTTTTCAGCTGCCTCTATTCAGTAATCAATGCTCAGAGGGTGACTGTAAGTGTGCATTATGTTTCCCAATACTTTGCTGGGCTCAGTTAAAAATATAAGTTGATGGATTGGTAGCAGTTGCTCCACATGCTATAATTGGAGACTAGGTCTGTGTTGTCAGGGTACAGATGAATAAAAACATGATTCTAAATGGGGAGGGGTCAAAGCCAGAGGATGTTGACCCCGAGCTGGAGGAGGAGAACCAAAGCTAAATACCAGACATTCTGATACCAGCCTATTACTAAAAAAATAAAACACCATTTCTAACACTGTGGTGTATTTTTTGTCTACTGTTATAATCTCTAAAAATGACTGGCATGGAGGAACTCGACTGTCATTTGTTTTTTCTAATACCCACTCAATTATACTAAGAGGGTCACAATTTTGATTGTTTAATCTTATAATGATCTGCCTAAAAATGTGAGATCAATTATACATTTTATACAGAATGTGTAATAAATCAATAAAATCAGTGAGCACCCTTAACACTGAAATGCGTGGAAAATTTCCCTAAAACTGCTCATTAAGTGGTTCAATTCAGAACCAGAATAAAATGCACCACTACTGCTCTGACAACAGTGTAAGAAAAGCAGACCAGTGTCGCCCCCATGTGGGTAAAGTCACACACTACAAGCTACATGCAGCTACTTGGTGCTAATAAGGAAAGCTAAAACATGGTCATGCCAGGTGCATAAAATTGTATCTTTATATTTTATTAAGGCAGGCATTGTCTTGTTTCATTCCCATTTTTTATTTTTATTTAACAAAATAAAAAAATCTAGGGCAACAAATGTAAAAATAGTTTCTAACATTCATAAAATACATATTTAAATAGTTCTTACACATTTTTTGCTGCAGATGTCCTTAATCCTCCAGAGCCAAACCTCCACAATTCTCAGCAGTTCTTAACTTAAAGAAAGAAAAGAGGTCACAGTTCCCCTTAAATCACATTTTCTACCGCTATCAGGTCAGCAGATGAAGAAAAAAGGAACAGACCAATAAATGGAGGCTCTACAGATTAATGGATAGAAGATTGCGATAGGAAACCTGGGAGGTGAAATGAATGCATTTTATATACTTTAAAAACTAAAATTACTTTTAATTAATGTAAGGATCGTTAGAATATGTATATGAATTTTATTTTAAAGGTGAATACTTTAAACCCCACAAAATATCTGATCACTTCATCAATTGCTTTTATTAAAAAAGTAAAGTTTTTATTTTTTTATTAATGTTCACTCAGCACCTCTTATTTGCAGAAACTTCTGCAAATTTATCCAAAATAGACACTGAAGCAACCACATGGTCATAAGTGTCCAGAATCTTTATTGTAACACTCACACGCTTCATGACCCTCCTTATAGATGGTTCTACAAAAAATAAATAAATAAAAATAAAGGAGCCCAGACTATGAGAAATAATATTCTGTTCTAATGAGGAAACATGAAAATGGCCTATTACCAACATTCAGTCACTATGCTCAATACTGAGCAAAGGGTCTGAATACTTGTGACCATGGGAGATTTCAGATTTTTTTTTTTATTAACAAATTTGATGAATTTTCTATATTCCTGGAATTATTTTCTCTCAGGATGTGCTGCTGACTGAATATCAAAGCAAAACAAAATGGGCTTCCTTCATTTTTAGCAAATGAATGCAATGAAACAAAGAATGCAAAAGGGGGTCTCAATACCTTCGGAACCCACTTTAATCTTTCTTATTTCGACCCACTTTACATTACAATCATTAAATAACTACTAACAGAAGTTATTTATTCCACGTTTAATACTTTAGCTTTTGGTTCTTGGATTTCAGACTTCATCCCTGGCAAACTGGTCCTCCTGCGAGCTGCTGTCTCAATGTTCTGCACCAGCTCCACATCCCAAGGGTGAGTGACGAAGCTGAGCACCTCCCCGTCCTCCACCCCCCCAGCTCTCCCCACCCTCCCTGCTCGGTGGATGTAGTCAGTGTGGGATTCTGGGCAGTCATAGTTGACGACCAAGCGCACCTTGGAGGTGTCCAGGCCACGTGAAGCTATGTCCGTGCATATTAGCACATTCGCGGTGCCCTTCTGGAAGGACCGGAAGATACCCGCCCTCACCTCAGCGGGCATCTCCCCCTGCAGACGAGCGTGCTGGACCCCCATCTCTTCCAGAGAGTAGCCCAGCCAGTTGACGGTGGAAGACTTGTTGCAGAACACTACAGCAGCTCCTCCTCCTCTTTCATGCTGGAGCTTTTTCAGAGCTTGGTAGAGCTCCAGGACTTTATCAGCACCCTTAACCTTCAGGAACGTCTGCTTGACGTGTGGCATAAGACAGTGCAGCATCTTGCTCTTAATTGTAACAATTCTACCCAGGTCTGTCACCTTGCTAAGAACTTCTCCAACGCCATCAGGGAAGGTCGCCCCAATCAGGAGCAGCTGGGCTTTATGACCCAGGCCCCGTGTCTCCCTGGGATCGCTCGCAATGTTTGCCTG